TTCTTTTTCTCCTCATCTCTCGAGCTCTCACCCCACTACCCACTCACATACCCCCCCCCTCCTCTAATACTCTCACAACACACACGACACACCAGCTCGCAGTGTGGCTCGCATGTGAAGCACCCCTTACTATCCCCTTCTTCCTTGTTTTTTCTCTTTGATCCCACCCCCTCCCTTCCCCCGTTTTACAGGTTGTTGGGTACCTGCTGATCTACTACGGTCAGCTTCGTAAAAACCCAAAGGTGAGCGGCATGTGTGTGTGTGAGTGTGAGTTTGTATGTGTATGTGTGCGTGAATGTGTGTGTGTGTGTGAGTCTGTGTGAGTGTGTGTGTGTGTGTGAGTGTGTGTGAATGTGTGTGTGTGAGTGTATGTGTGAGTGTGTGTGTCAGTGCGTGTGAATGTATGTGCGAGTGTGTCTGTGTGTGTGTCAGTGCGTATGATGAGTGCGAGTGGATGACACAAGATATGAACCTGAAATGTCAAGCGAAAATATCCCCGCAAGCACTTACACTTCTTTTGCATTCAACTTCCGTCATCAGTCGGTCGCATCGCCATCATGGGCACGGTGTCATCGATTGCGAGGAGGAGGGGACAGAGGAGACAGGAAGCGGAGGAGGCGGAGAAGGAGGAGAAGAAAGGAGAGTCATTGTTAAAGGACAATGGAACGGCAGGAGGAGAGGAAGGAGAAGAGGTGGAGGAGGAGAAGCCAAAGGCGATGAATGCAAAGGAGAGCAAGAACAACAAGAACAAGAACAAGAACAAGGCGAAAGAAGATGAACAGCGACACCACCCTGTCGTCATCAACACAAAGGCCGGATTGATCTGGTGAGTTTGTGCGTGTGATTGCGCGCGCGCGTGTGTGTGTGTTGGGGGGGGGTGTCAGGGAACTGTGTTTGTGCTTGTGAGAGTGTTTGTGTGAGTGTGCATGCTTGTGTGAGTGTGCATGCTTGTGTGTGCGTGTGTACGAGTCACGGTCGAAAAGAGAGTGCGCTTGCTGCTTGTGTTGTTCAATGTGGTGTGCACAATCAGCCTGCTTGCTTGCCCGGATCGCTTGGTCACATGTGTGCTCTTCCTCACGAACATGGTACCTTTCCCCCGCTTTATACAGGAAACCAACAAACAGCGACACATATTCCATGCTCCCAGCATGTAAGTGGATCAATCATCTCGCAGCACCACCATGGCCATGATTACACATGATCGCACATGCACACACACAGACACACACACAGACACACAGATACACACAGACACACAGACACACAGACACACACACACACAGACACACACACACACACACACACACACACACACGCACTCACACGCACACACCGCGTGCGCGCACACACACGCACTCACACGCACACACGCGCGCGCGCACACACACACAAATTTGGTTGTGGTGACAGGCGTTGAGCCAGCGGTCCCGCCCGATCGGCTGTGGCCCAAGCTGGAAGATCGAAGTAAATGGGCACAAGCCTCCGGTCCAACTGCGCCCGTCATCATCCCGAAACAGTAACTCAAACCCATGCACATTGTCACATAACCACCTGCCCCGCCCCTCGTGTGAACCGGTCCATGCCTGCGTCCTGCTGCTTGTAAAGGTGATCAGAGTTTTGTCTGGTTTGACAGCTGATTCATCAAACATGTCTGTCCATGCGCAAGTGCACGCGTATTTGCTTCTCGTGTCCTGTGGACACTCTGCCGTGCATGGTTGTTCGTTTACACAAGTTGCTGTACATAGACACAACAAGCATCAAGCATCAAGCAGCAAGCATCAAGCATCAAGCATCAAGCAGCAAGCTGCTGTCTTGTCATGGTCGAACCTACATGTACACAAATACGCTGACAAGAACGACACGTCGACGTGCCAAGCTGATATCACACACACAGAGACAGACAGACAGACAGACATACACACACACACACACAAACAAAACAAACAAAACAAACAAAACAAAACAAACAAACGGCACATCATGTGGTGCGCTTGAGGGAGATGAGTGTGCGGCGGGTCGGGGTGGTCACGGTGGACGAGGACGACGGCAGTAATCCCCGCACGCCATAGCCCTCACCCAGCAGCACGGGGCAACCAGAGCTGTAGGCAAGCGCGTGCTTCTGGAAGTGGCGAACAAGGTCCGACAGCGAAGGAAAACTGCCTTTGCCTTGCAGCGCGAACCGCCCCAGCCCAGCCTGCCACACCACGTCATAGTGGACAACACGCGTCGGCGTGCGCACAGACAGCTGAAACACCGCGCCATCATCATGGTTGCCACCACCACCACCGCCGCCGCCCTGGTGGGAAGAGGAAGTAGCAGTCGCGCTGCTCCTGTGACTGCTACTATTGTTGCCATTGGTTCTGTTGTCGTGGTTGGCCAAGCCATCAGTGGTCGAAACATGTCTGTCATCACCACCATCACCGGCGGATTGACCAGCCCTCTTGCTGCCGCGGCTCTTACCTCCGCCGTTCCCAACACCACCACAACCAACACCACCACCACAACCATCCTCACGGCTGCGGCCACCAGTGCGTGCTGACTGGCGCACGACGAACGTTGACGGTTCCGCCTTCTCCAGCAGCAGCCGCTCTGCCGCCTGTGTCGACATGCGGCCGAAGAACCACGCGGCCTGCTCGTGTTCACGGGGCATTGCCGCTGCAGCCGTCGCCATCCTAGGCAATGCTGACACGTGCGGTGGAGGTGGTTGTGTCATCGTTGTCGTTGTCGTTGTCGTTGTTGGTTGTGACGGTGATAACGGTGTGGGCGATACAGGCGGCGCCACTTCCCGTCCATCACCACGTGCAGTCGCTTGTCCACTCTCGCAACCAGGGCCTTTGTCACCATCGTCATCCGAGCTGCTACTCCTGCTGTTGCTGTTGCTGTTGTTGGTGTTGCTGGTGCTGTTGTTGTTGGTGCTGCTGTCACCACCATCATCCTCG